GAAAAAGTCCCAACTCCCAGTCCACAATCTGACCCTATTGCTAGTCTTCATGGCTTTGTCGCCCACCATTTCACCCTCCTTACCTCTGGTCTCATGAAGGAACAGAATGCACTGTATCTTTGTTCAGAATGGTTCTTCAGCCTTTCTCCTACCTTCTTCCCTAATGGGAAAAAAAACCGCATTTCCAAAGCCACCTCTTTTTTACACTTTCCTTTCTCCTAATCTAAATTACTTATTTTCTGTCTTTAGCATTTTACCTGTATTTGCCTTTATAGGACTTCATTCATTCTTTCTTGTGTTTTGGTTATTTTGGTTAGTTGAATTCAAATTTCCTAAGTAGATAAGAATCTTGATTTCTTTTTCTGTAGCATCTCTTCATTGCATCTGACACCCCAAGCGTCCCCTAAATTACCAAATGTACCCCCTTATGGTAGGATAGGCCTTTTAACTCTTCATTTCTCCTGATAAAACCAATGAGTACTCTTTTAAATGAGAATTGAAACTACATAGTTGTCATGGTTAGTATATTTTTTAAGTTTGTTTCTTTTTGTTTCTAGATAACTGAATTTTTAAAATATGTAAAGCTGAATATAATAGACCAATAAATAGAATCAGGTATTCCAAAGATAATTAACCTAGTTACTATTATTTATGTCTACTTAAGTGCTTGATGAGTTCCCTTTCCTTGCTCTCCAAGACAAATCTCACAGAGTGGTGTAATTTTTTTTTTTTTTTTTTTGCACTCCCAAGAGTGCAAAGAGCATAATGGGAAAAGCTGTAGGTTATAGCTCTATTAGCCCATTTTATTTAGTTTCCAGAATTGTCCTGAGGCTTCAGTTGCTACACTGTAACCATTTTAAAATTATGTTTCTGTTTTGGCTTGTAGATTCTTGGCAGTTTTTAAAACAGCTAGCTAAACAAGTGTTACTGACATTGGTTAGCAAAACACTGATTCAGCTGCAATACACTTTGCTTGTATCCATCATTAAAAGAAAAAAAAAAATAGGTCAGGAACGGTGGCTCATACCTGTAACCCTAGCACTTTGGGAGGCTGAGGCAGGATTGCTTGAGGCCAGGGGTTCAAGACCACCCTGGGCAACATAGTAAGACCCCTGTCTCTACAAGAAAAAAAGAAAAATAATAATAATGTTCTTGGAAATTGGAAACGTTGGAAGATGTCTTATAGAAGGATCCTAATATATAAGCGATGTCTCGGCTACCTAACTGTACAATATGGAACTTTTTTATACGAAGTTATGTGGTGTGGCGTTCAGTATATTAATAGAAGTTATTCTAGTTTTTGGAAAAGCTGTAGATGGAGACTTCTTTTCAAGGTAGAATTCTGCTCTTATGTAATAACGCATCATGTGATGCATTCGTGATAAAGATGCGATTTTGCTAAATACTTTAGTCTGAATCCAGCTCCTAAGAGCCATGGAAAAGTAGAAGGTATGAACTGGATTGCAGTACTGTTCCTGAGGAACGGATTTGGACTTTTTAACTAGCCATTTCTAGTAATCTGTTTCCTTCCTTTCCTGTCATTCCTTTGTGCATAAGTGGGTTAGTATATATTCTTACTGACAAGAAATGCCAAACCGGCCAGGCGTGGTGGCTCACGCCTGTAATCCCATCACTTTGGGAGGCTGAGGTGGGAGGATCATTTGAGGCCAGGAATTTGAGACCCCATCTGTACAAAAAAATAAAAAAATTAGCTGGGTGTGGTGGTGCGCACCTGTAGTCCTAGATACTCGAGAGGCTGAGGCAGGAGGATTGCTTGAGCCCAGGAGTTTGAGGCTGCAGTGAGTTGTAATCACCCCACTGTACTCTAGCCTGGGCGACAGAGTGAGGCTCTGTCTCTTTAAAAGAAAAAACCAAACCACCTTATAGTCTCACAGGTATTCCCTGAATATGGATGTGTTGGGGAATTTTCAGTACATCTCTTTTCAAACTGGCTGCAAATAGAATGCCCAACTTTTAAGTCTTTGAAAAAATAAATTGTAGCAAGAAGAATGAACTAAAATGACTTTTTTACGATATAAAAGTAAAAAAGTTTATCCTTTAGAAGGACAGAGAGAATATGAGAGAAAGAGAGAAGTGGGGAGAGAGCAGGGAGACGGTTTGACATCCCAAAGAAAGAAAAGGGAGATGCCAGCAGCTAGGCCACCCAGCTTGCTGCCTTTGTGGGGTGAAATGACTTTTTCAA